CTGGCTGGCCCCATCATTCATTTTTTATCACACCTGTATTCTATGAGGAAGTCCATCACAGGAAACAGAACAATGCAGTGAGGTGGTGAGAAGGGATCTGAAGGACAAAATCCTGTGCGGGGATCAGGGAGTGGGGCAGGGTGTTAATCAGTTTGGGGCAGTCAGGGAAAGGCTCCCTCAGGATGTGATTTTTGGACAGAGACCTGAAGGAAATAAGGGACTGAGGTACACAGGAGAAAAGCATTTCTAAGAGGTGGGAGAGCAAATCTGCATGGGAGGAGGAGCAGAAAGGACAGCACGGCTGGGTGGAGCAGGGAGGAGCAGCGCCAGCTCTAGAGGGCTGTGTGTGTTTTCCTTATAGTGAGGAGGGCCCTCTGAGTGCCGGGAGCCACGGAACTGTGTGGCTGTGGGTCCTCGCAGAGACGAGATGGTCATGGGGTACTGTCTGCAGAGCTTGGGGCAGTGGTGACGATGTGAGCAAGGATGCTGTGCCTGCACTGAGATAAGGCACTGTGTTTGGCAGAACCAGTGGCATCTGCTGAAAACCTGGCCACCAGGTGATTGATGCCTGAGGGCAGCAGGCAGAGGGTGGTCAAGGGCTCAGCCTTGGGCACACTGGTGGGGTGGACGGCTGGTGCATGTGGAGTTCAAGGGAGCTATCCAGGCTCCTCAGAAAAATTCAAGGTCCATGATGCAAGACAGCATTTACGTCACGCAGCTGAATGGAAGAGGAAGTGAAGCCGTGGTGGGATGAAGCCTGGATTTCAGTGATTAGAGGTTGGGGCACAGATTAGGCCCCAACCTCAGCAACTGAAGGGGCCGCTAGGAGCCAGAGAACCAGAGAGGCCTACTGCTGGTGGGGAGTCGGCAATGCTGCCGGCAGGTGGCGGGCAGAGTGCTCAGAACTGGCCCCTGTGAGCAATGTGGAAGTGACTGGTTGCTCTGCTGTAGGGAGAGCCATGGAATCACAACCCTACTGAGCGTTGTGCTGATGCAGTGAAGGGAGATGAGGCCAACCTGGTGGGGAGGGAAAGCCTCCCTGAGGAAGTGACATTTAGGTTAGGCCCTGACTGATGGGCCTGGAGGACACCCAGGAGAAAGTGCGGCCCACCTCCAGGCCTGGAGTGGTGTGGTGTCACTTGGTGCTGTGAAGGAACAGAAAGAAACCCAAGGTGGCGGGAGCTTAGCAAATGAATGAGGGGAGGGGGACAGGCAGCCTTATGAAACACTTTGAACTTTAACCTCAGGGCAATGGGAAGCTGCAGAGGGGCTCTGCATTCCTGTCCATACAAGCTCACTTCCTGAGCGCTGACCTGCGGGAAGGATGGGCACAAGCTCTTCTCCGCTCTGCCTGCTTCACCTGCGTCTTGCTCCTGGACCATCACTACTGCATACAAGTTGAGCTAGCTACTTTTGGTTCATCTTTCTGTCCATTCAGCCTTCCACTAAACTACCTTACCTTCTTCCTTATCCATTCTCTGGTCAAATAGAGCGCCCTGACAGGGTCAGCATAATTCTAAACAACATTGCCTAAAGTGCAAAACTTTCAACTGACCCCTCACTGTCCCAAACTCCAACATGCAAGGTTGTGCCTAATCCAGCCCTGCACACCTGCCCTGGCTCCGCCCATTCTACATCACCGTGCAGGAGAGAATGGAAGAGCATGGGCTGGAGTCAGGTCTGGTCCTGAAGCCCCACTTGCACTGGCCAGCCAGCTGTCACAGGCAAGTGCTCCATGTCACACGCTGCCCCAGTGCCCAGGCTCCGTGCTCAGTGCAGTGCCTACAGCTGCATTTATCTTGCTAGCAGCTTCCCCAGAAGCCTTCCTGCCCCAGGTTTCCCTATCACTGTTCTCTATTTCCTCTCAGTCGTTTTCTTTCTGAGTGATGCTGGCATTGTTCTCCAGCTACATCTGAGTACTGGAGACCCTTGAGTAAGCTCTCATTGTCGTAGTCCCAACACTGCCACAGAACAGGCCCTCAGCGAGCAGGATTTCCTTGCACCTAGAAACCATGAATTATGAGAAGAGTGCTGCTCAAACTTTTAGCATGCAGAATGTACCTCTTGTTAAAAAGTTGACCCTAAGGGGCCAGGGAGATGGCTCAGTAGAATAAGTACTTCCCTGGCAAGTGCAAGGGCCTGAGTTCAATCCCCAGTTACACACACACACACACACACACACACACACACACACACGCACACACACAAAAGTGACCCTAAACCTGGGTGCTGTGGTGCTTACCTGTAACCCCAGTACTCTGGGAGGCTGAGGCAGAAGGATTCCCTACCTGGAGCCCAATCTGGTAATTTGGTGCCTTAGGGAGAGCCCTGCCTCAAAACAAAAAATGAAAAGGACTGGGGACCCAGCTCTGAGTAAAGGCCATGGGTTCAATCCCTTGTGCCATGCACCCACCCCTACATACACAAAATGCAGACCCTGACTCTGTGGGTTAGGGCAGGGCCTGTGACTCCAGGCTCTTAAGGCTGCTGCTGGTCCCCAGACCCCTGGGAGCAGGCCTCAGAGATGAGTGGATGCACCATGGCTTTCCTTGGGGCCAGCACTTCCAGGGCAGAGGGCCAGGGCTCATCACCTCAGAGGTCTCCAGGGACTGGATTTCCCGCGGTAGCTCCACAGCGTGCCTGTTGAAGTAGTCCATGGTGATGGCGTTGTTCCAGTAGCTCAGGTTGTTCTCAGGGTTGGCTGTCTTCTTCTTCCTCCTCATGCAGCACACTGTCAGCAAGACCGCTGTGGAGAGGAGAGGCCATGTGAGAGGAGGCAGGGAGTGACAGGCTGTGAATGTTGCAGGTGACAAGTGCAGGTATCCAGGTGACACTACTAAGGCGACGCAGCATTCAGCCACTTACCGCACCCACTTATTTATGTGTTCCTTCAACTACTATCTCTGCGTTGATGCTCACTCTGTGCCAGGAAATATTAAAAGTATTTAGGAAAAGGTGCTGGGAAGCAGGCCACACCCCCTTTGTTCCATAAACTTCCATCCTAGTACATGAATGGGTGCAGAGGGGCCAGTCATATATAATATGTAATAAACAAAAGGAATAAATAAAACAAATCCAGAGAGCGATAATCTAATGAAAACAAAGCAGGGCAATGAAAAAGACAGTGTGGGAGTTGGGGAGAGACTGTGTGGAGTCATCGTGGAAGTCTTCCCTGAGGAGCAGACGGGCCTGTGCCCGAAGTCCTGCGTAACTGTCAGCAGCTCTTCCATGTGTACACATACATACACGTGGTGACTGGGGCCAGAGAGACGCTGCTGACTCAGGGATTCTGCTCCATGCGCCTGTGCCATCAAGGCCTCTGAGGAGGACGTCAAGGGCCTTCCTGAGAGGTGCACTATGCCCTGCCCCTCTGACTTCCTCCCACCACAGCCAAGACCTCTTCTATCAGCCCAGGGTGACCCAGGAGCACACTCACCTTCTGTGTAGCCACAGTCTGGGGACCCTCCCCCATGAGCAAGGTCATTTTGGGATACAAACTGAAGGCACATCAGAATTATTAATTCATTTAATTCCCCATTTAACCCCAAGGGGTAGACCACTAAGGTCCCTATTGTACAGACAGGGAGTTTGAAGGTCACAGAGGTCAAGTGACTTGCCTAAGGGCAAATCCAGATACCTGGACTTCAAATCCACCACAGACTGAGGCCAAAGCCCACCCTGCAGTGATGGCCTGGGCAGGGTTCCCCACAGCTGGACTAGCCACACTGTCATGTGCACCCAGATACAGCCCCTAGGGGTGTGTCTGGACTTTGATGAACCAAGTGTGAACACAGTGCTGTCCAGGAAGGCTTCTGAGATCTGAAGAGAGCTGTCCGGGTAATAGAGAATGCTGATGTCACAAGTGTAGATGCCCCTTGGGAAGAAGCCAGGAAGTGCGGACTGGATATCCTGCCCAGACTCGCCACCCACAGCAGCTGAGAGTTTGCTGAATCCCGGGGCACAGGTTAGCTGCAAAATCTGGCACCTGTGCAGGCTGAGAGCCCAGAGTCCAGGCTCCTGGGTGGTGCTGGCTCTGACCTATGACAAATCAGGTGGGTACTGTAAGCAGTACAGGTCTCCACAGAATAAGAAGACAGCCTCAGTGGCATCTCAGTCTGAAAGGCCTCTGAGCAAGGTCAGGCCAGCCATGGTGATGCATGCCTGGGAGGCTGAGGCAGGAAGATCACAAGCTCAAACCCAGTGCAGGGCTGGGGCTGTAGCTCAATGTGAAGAACCTGGGTTCACAGATGAGGATTCTGAATGGGCTACAAGGAATGTCAGTTGGTACTGTATACAACTGTTCAAATTTTGTGGTTCTTGTCCTTTCCTTCTGCCACCCTATCTTTAAGTGGTTGAAGGAAAGGAGGTGATGAGAGGGCTGCAGAGTTCAGCCTGGACCCTGCTTACCGGCTGCCTCTTGTTCTGTGGGGCGCACTACTGCTTGCCGTACCCAGCTGACTTGACAGAGGTCAGAGCTCTGCAAGTGGCAGGGCTCAGACAAGACCCAAATCCCTCCTCTTCTTTTCTCCTGTCTTTACTCCTCCTAGCCGTGCCTGTCACCTGCTCCTGGGACTGGGATGGTGACACAGCTGGGGAGTTCAAGCTGGTTAGGCAAACCACATGGAGAAGACAATATGTGGGAAGTGGGCAAAATACTGTTTCGTTGGTTCCAGCTCCATTTTTTCTGTTGGGACAAAAAGGGCCACTTTGCAACTACAGCCTATGAGGGCGTCTCCCATCTGTCACACAGGATGCTGCTACAGACCCAAACCCAGGCTGGCAGGACTGGCACCAAAGCTGAGAAAGGTCTGCCTGAGCCAGGACGGTATGGTGTGCACACCTCTCTAAGGAAAATCATCTCTGTGCCTCTCATCAGTTGAGCAGCTATAACATACAAAACTGCCAGGTGCAGTGGCACACACCTGGAATCCCCGCACTTGGGAGGCTGAGGCAGGAGAGCAGCTGAGAGTTCAAGTCCAACCTGGGCTACAAAGTAAATCCAAGGCCTATCTGAAGTACACAGCAAGATGCTGTCTTAAAAAAAAAAAAAAAAGTTCGTAGAATTTAGAATCCGAGTCTAGATGATAATCTGTCACCCACAGGAGCTAAATCAATACATGACTTGGCCCTCTCCACCCCAGCTTCCTGTGGGCAGACTAGCTGCAAGCATGCAGCGGCAGCAGCACGCTGCACAGTCCCCAGCACACAGGAGGGCCTGCACCGATGACCCTTCCCCATCCTGCATGCTTGCTCCTCAGAGCAGGGGCCGGAGATCTAGAGGGTGAACTTGCGCTGGGCCACACTGCCCAGCCCTACTGGTGGAGGGGACAGAATCCATGTGCTCTGCTTCTAGTTCAGGGAAGTGTCGACAGCTCACACTGCCCTGGCTCTGAATGCCAGACACGGGGCTCCCGCTCTTCGGGAGGACAGCCATCAGCGCAGGGCGAGCCGGGGCGGGGTGTGAGGCTTGCTCCATTCTGTATTTCCTCAGGGCGTCTGCAGCAATTCTCAAGCATCAGCACATTTACTTACTGGAAACCAGCCTGGCACAGGAAGAGCACAGGACTGCACCAGAGGCCGCGGCGCAACCCCGGATTACACCTGGCAAGCCCTTCGGTCTCTCATTAATTGGACTTCATGAGTTATTATGAAAACTGAATAGATTATGGGTACAAAATGCCATACACGGTGCTTGACACGCCACAGGTGGCTGATTAATGCTGGGTCTCTTCCTGTTCTTCTGGAAGACTCCAAAAGACAGAAACAAAAGTGGGGCTATTGGGAGGCTCAAGGCCAAAGCTCCACCTGTGGTTTAGAAAGTGCATTATTTTAGTTGCTTGATCTTTCAGAAAAAATGCGAGTCAGAATCCAGGAAGCTGTGACATATCCCCAGCACCTAGGTACTTAGCAGCCGTACTTATCACCCATATGATAACCACTGGGGGAAGGTACCACTTCTCTTGGCATTTAGGGAAGAGGACACTGAGTTGTGAGAGTGAACAACACCGACCATTATCACCCAGCTAATAACTACGATTTGAACCTCGTCTTCAACATTAGGGGTATAAGAGTGGCCAAGTGTCCAGCTGTATGCAAACCCAGAGTACCAGATGCTTCCTTCACTGTTCAGTGGAAACTCAATTGCTCTATGTCTCCAAAGCCCACAGGACCCCAGAAGAAATGAAGGGTTAGTCCTCCTTCAAGTTTCCAAATAGGGCTGAGAGTAGGGCAAGCTGTCTTGGCTTCTCAGGAATATAAACAGAAAACTGTCCATAGTTTGCCAGAAGTGTAGGGAGGAAGGCAGCTGGTTTTAAGACAGAGCCCTGGGTACCTGGGCTCATATTTCTGGGAGGGGCATTCTTTGAGGCAACAGAAGTCACTGTGTGATGAGAAAAGAAAATGAAACTCCACAGATCCCCTGAAGATGCAATGTTTCCAAACACCCACTGATCTGCTCTCTGCCTAGCAGGCTGGAACAACCTGCTGAGGACTAGGAGAAGCCAGGGGAGTGCCGCCAAAGAGCAGATACGACACTATTACGACCAGGGTGACATCCCCTGGACAACCCTGCTGTGCCTGAAGCTTCTCCCCTTCCCCTTCCATTGGTCCATAAACTCCCAGAAGAAAACCTCTCACCAACACTCCTGGGTCCAACCCCTTCTCATTGGCAAGAGAAATTCTGACTTATGTTTTCTTTTAATTACAAAATCATTTGAGGCCTGCGAATAAAAAGTACATGCATGTTGATTCAAAGCCCACTGAACAACTCATGTAGTCAGGAATTGTGGGCACAATGAGGCACTGCGTCTTGGAATGGTGCATCATACCATGCTCACGAGAGGGTGTGAACAGCACAGGACAGTCTCCAAGCTGATGACCTGTGCAAACCCAGAGCACTGGTTGGTAGGTCCAGGCCACAGGCTTCCGGCAGTTGGCACTAGGTTCTGTGCATCCTGATGGTGGCAGCAGAGACCAGAGCAGGAGCCACATGGCTTCCCTGCATGGACCAGTGTGGCCTGGATCCAATCAGTTTTGGTTCTCAGCACATCTGAAATCCTGTTGGCTGAGAGTGTCTGGCAGCACTGTGGAGACAAAGCATTTTCCAGCCCTGACACAAACACACCCTTCAGCCACTGGGGGTGGAGCTTGAGATCTGGAAGGGCAGGTAAGCAACTGACACCCTTCCTGGGCTTTATTATGCTCACCCCTTCATGAATGGGCTCTGCCCAGCAGCCCTGGCTGGACAACACAGAAGTGGGGCTGGTGGTGGTCTGAACAGCCAGAGGACAAGTCTATACAGGTATGTTGCCACCAGCCCAGAATACCTGGAATGTCTCATAAGAAGGGAAAGAATGGCCTCTGAGGTCTGTAAAGTAGCTTTAGCATAAGTGGAGCCATTAGCTGTGCCAAAATGTGGGCTTTTAGCCCTAGCAGTCCACGTGCCTGATCACTAGACAGGGCGGGGTGATGGGGATGTCTAGGAAGCGAGACACGGTTCTGAGGTTACGTAAGTCTTTTATCTTAGTGTCCTCCTCGCCAGGGCCTTCAGGGGATTCAATACCTCATGAAGAGGTGAAACCACAATCAAGGGCCCAGACATGGTGTGGAGGCAGAGAAGGCCAAGGCGAGAGCGTGGTACCTCCTGTATCAGTGGTGGTGAACCTAGGCCACAGTGTTGTTTTCCTTTTAAGACAAAAAATGTTAATGTGTGAGTTTTTTCTAAGCTAAAATTTCAGTATTTAGGTTTAATTGCAGTGTTGGAACTTTGTGATAAAGAGGTGGATTTTGGGTTGCAGCTTAGGTACTTGTTTCTAAAAAGTTCGCCAGCACTCTCCTATAAAGATGGTAGAAATCTAGAGTAGGTGGGGCTGCAGTTCCCAAGAGGCTACAAGAGTCCATTTTGAACAAAGTTTGTGTCTTCTTTTAACAGTAGTGTCTTCTGCCTCTGTAGTGCCAGAAGCACCCTGAAGTAAGTTCCCAACTGTGTCCTTGCTCCTGTTGTGGAGCATTTGTTTCCACTGTGGAGACAGCTACAGGCTTTTCAGCTGTGCAGCAAGATCTGATCTAATTTCACACTCTCATCTCTTAGAAGGACTGGGGAGAAGTAGGATTCATCTCAGACTAGACAAATCCAGATGGGTGCTGTGGGTGAACTGTTGAGGCCTCCCCTGTGCTGTCAGCTCAGGCAGGGCAGATGCAGGGGTTACAGGGTCTGGAGAGTTGGAGAGGGGCCACACCATACCTGTCTGGTTCCCTAGTGCTTGGCAACGTGCATGGCACACAGCAGGCTCTTGGAAAAAATGGTATGCAATGAATAAAGCAGATTCTGCCCTTCCTAATTTGGGCTGACATGCCATGTGACTGGGACCCTGGGCAAGTCGCTTGTACCTGGTGACTTCCATCCCCACTGGAAGGTGTGAGTGATGACCAGAGCCACCTGGCACCCTGGCCAGGGTTTGCTTGCTTGTTTTTGTTTTTATTTTGTATGGCTAGTCTGTTTCAAGGATACAGTAATAGAAATTATTGGAAATTCTCATTGTAAACTAGAGCATTCCAGGCACATGTAAGGAACACAAAACTAGCAAGCTGTATTTCATGTGGTTACTTCTCAAATACGACCATTTTTAATAATTTATCGGTCAGCAGTGCTACACTTCTCATTACCATTCTGTTTTAGAAGTGGGCAATCAGCTTGTAACAATGCTTTCACAAGAGACAGTAAAGCCACTTTCATTAAGGTGAGACATGCACCTTGCAAATGGCTTTGCTTTTCCTGAGCTGAGTCTCTGAGAAGAAGCAGGCGGCCCAAGCCCTGGCATTTGTGTATCAGGCTGGGAGACATGGCTCCTGAAAAGAATCTAGACTCCAGATTAAAAAAAAAGATGTGGTTGGAGTATAATGTGGAGTAGAAATCATTTTGAAGGCATAAACCTCCGAGCTAACCCATGGCATGGGTGTGTGTGTGTGTGTGTGTTTGTGTGCACACGCATGTGTGTGTGTGCTCAGATTCACACACCTCTCAAGCTTCAATTTAGAACTGTTCTTGCTGAGGCCAAGGGAATTTCCCACTATGTCAAAGCTTCATATTCCTTTCCTCCTTAGGGGGAAGTGGGGGAGGAGGAGGAGAAATGGGGGACGAGAAAGGAAGACCTAGAAGGAATGTGCAGGAGACGCAGGAGAGGACAGGAGGACTTTGCTAGCTGGAGGCTGTACATCGGGAGGCTTACTTCCAGCTGTGGTATCCTGATGCAGCGCCACTCTGCGCATGGTGGGCTATGCCTGAGGAAGGCTGGGGTCAGGACAGAGCACTGGGCTGGAAGGCAGGTGCTGAGCTTGTACCCCAGCTCTGCCTCTCTAACTGCCACGTCTTCCCTCTAGCTTGACATCTTCTTTCTGAAAAATGTACGGCTGGATTAGCCTGCCTATAAGGCCCTCTCCAGCCCCTAGAGGGTGGGGCTTCACAACTTAGGAACATTCAAGCCATGATCCAGCAGAGATCAGGACCAGAGGCAGAGCCAACACAGAACTGCCCTATTAAACTGTGTCATAGGAATTTTTATAGCACCCTTGGTGGGGGCTGCTCAACTCTGGAGCAAGAGAATATGGGAGAGGAACACCACGAAATGGCAGAGGGAAGGTAAGGAGGGTAGGAGGCATGAAGGAAGGCAAGGTACTCACAGCAGGAAGAGATGGGCACACTGATTGCTAGGATCACCCAGGCGATGTCCATCTTGCTCAGGCAGATGGTGGCTCTGTGCTGGGGCTTGTCCCCTTCAGCCACATGGGAGATGTTCGCTGCTGTCCCAGGCTTCCAGGTCCCAGCAGGGACCAGGCGGTTGAGGAAGTTTCCTGTGGCTGTGGACACCACTGTAGAGAGAGGACTGGGTACCCTGTTGGTCATGGAGAGGGAGACTGCAGTCTCCTCTTCAGCTAGAGAAACAGTGCTTTCTGAGACCCCAGGGGCATGGGCTGGGGCCTGTGGGGTTGTGGATGTTTCCTGAGGAATCCCCTGGGAAGGGGCTGAGACACTGGCATTGAAGGCAGCCTGGGTTGGCCCCATCACATCTGTAAAGACCCCAGAGCTGGCAGACGGAGGTCTGTTGGTGCCAGGGATGACAGTAAGCCAAGAGTCACTGAGGCCAGGGCTGTTCTGTGTGTCACCATGGGGGTGCTGAGAAGGCACTGGGGTGGCTTGTGAACTGGTAGGAACTGCAGCTGCTGTGGCATTCGGCTCATTTCCTGGGCTGGTGAAGACAGAACCACCCCCTTGGTCTGCTGTGCTAAGTCCTGGATTGTCCTCTGCAGGCACCAAGAGGGTGGTGGGTGGCACCCATGAGGTACTTCTGGGTGCCATGGTTGCAGCCACTGTCTGGGACTGTGGCAAAGAGAAGTTCGGGGTCCTGGGAGAAAGGGCAGAGGGATCTGACTCCACAGACCCTGTGAAGTTGCCCTTGTAGATCTGAAAGATTTTCCCTAATGGGCGCTTCTGCCCCAGGTGTGTAGAGCTCTGATTTCGTCCCCGCTGGCCTTCCTTCCTCCCAGAGTGGCCACCAGGTGCAGGTGAGATAGGGCGTGATGAGCCCCCAGTCCCCTTTCGGGAAGAGCCTGGGAGTCGGGGGGGCCTGCGTGTGGTAGCCCGAGGGACTGCTGTGATGGGGTGGCTGGTGGCTCCTGTTGGCTTTGTTAGGATGGTGGGAGTAGCCTCCCCTGTGGGACTGCTCTCTGAGTGGGAGTATGTGGTCGCCATGGCAACAGGAGGGGAACCTGTAGGCAGGGGGCTTTCAGGATGGAGGATGGTTGCTGACAGCAAGACAGTGGAAGTAGTGTTTATAGGAGGGTCCCCATTTTGATGGGGCATCGCTGTTGCCATTCTGGCTGTGGCCTGTGAGAGTCCATCAGGAGAAGGGCTCAATGTCATCACAGAGGAGTGTGTGGTCTGGCTGTGGGGTGCAGTCACCATGGTGTCTGGGGGACTGCCTGAAGGGAGGACCTGAAGAGATTCCAGTTCCTGGACAGCAAATACCAGTGCTTCAGTCAGCATCACAGTCAGGAGGAAGCCTGGAAGGGGAAACAGGAGATGTGAGATACCCAGGAAGCCGCTGCCAGCTGGGTTCTCTGCATCTATGACCTTGTGCACTGGGAACTCAAGGAGAATGTCAGGCACATTTGGAAGGCCCACACGGGCATCTGGCACCCTGAGACACAGAATCTCATATAGAGTAGGACAGGTCTAGTAGGTTGGTGAAGAGGAACCTGAAGAGAAGTCAGACTGGTCATCATGTCCTTCCAAAAGGCCTCTTAAATGCTATCAGCCTTCCACCAAAGCACAGCCTCTCAAAAGGCTACAGCATACAGGAGGGATGTGGTTCTGCATCCACCTCCTCTGCTACAACTAGGGTTGTAGGCCAGCTCAGCCAAAGAGAAGCAGGAGCCACCCAGAGCTGAATGGGGAAGACTTCAGTAGGTAGACCTACCCCATCTGCTTCCCTTTTCTGAACTGGAGAGAGGTATCGAAGATCAGACCTCCATCCACTCACATGAACTCACCTTCTCTTCTTCCCTAGAGGTCAGAAATGATCAGGGAACACTCCAGTCCTGGGTGAGTTTGCAGAAATCAACAAACGATGCTAAAGGGGCCAGGGAGATGGCTCAGTGGAATAAGTGCTCCCCTGGCAAGTGGAAGGGTCTGAGTTCAATCCCTGAGTCCACAAAAAAAAAAAAAAAAAAAAAGCTAAAAAAGTCAGAGAGGTCTCAGTGTCACAGGAAAGTGGCACGGAGAAGGGAACATGGGTCCAGAGAAGGTCAACCAGATCTGGTGCCCATACAGCACACATATCAGCATCTGGAGTAGAAGATGCATTCTATAAAAGTTGCTGGTATTATGATGTTTGTGGTTAAACACTGTAGTTATTTCCTCAGACACTCATGTGGCTGAAGTCTGTGGGAATCTCACTGGTGATGAGTAGGAGTCCTTTTGTATAGTTAAGAGAGGGTTTGTATATGATAGTCACTGTGTGCACTTTTATTGAGAAAATGCAAAAGGATAAAAACATATAAATTTAAAAACATTTATAACCCAAGCCTGCTGAGTGAGAACTTCTGCTGTATTCTTGGGACCCCCAGATTCAGCTCTAGCCCAGCGCTGGTGAGTGTGTGGGAGAGCTTCCTCTCCTTGCTACTCCACCTTGTCCTCTTCAGACTCAGCTCAGGCCTGGCATACAGGCCTGGGGTGAAACTCTGCAGCTACAGTCCCTGCAGAGAGAGTAGGGTATAGAACCGTCCAGCTAGTCCAGGAGCAGAACATCTTGCTAGAGGGACACAACAAGTTCACTCCCAAGGGTAGCAGCAGGAAGGAGCTGAGCACAGCAGCCAGACCCAAGGCAGGCACAGCTGGATAAATTCAAACTTTGTAGATCTGCACCTGAATTTCAGTAGGGGCTAAGGTTATAAATGCACCAAAGCTCTACAACAAAGGTCAGAAGACAGTGCTATACAAAATGACAACAAGAAGGGACAAAATGCAATCTCAGACCCCAAGCCCACCCATAACAAGCGCAGAGGACACTAACACAGAACAAATTGGGAATCACACAGCTTTAATCAATGAATCCAGAGCTTCTGAAATAAAGAAACAACTGTAGAAAGGTATAGAGGAACTCAGATTGGAAATAAAAAAAGAAATCCCAGAATTGATAGCATCTGCAGTAAAGAATCAAATGCAGAAACATATATGGAAACCCAATGCCCACCCAGAACAAGTGCAGAGAACACTAGCTCAGCTCAAATGTATGAATTAATAGCATCAAAAGTAAATAAGCAACAGCAGAAAATTATAGAGGAATTCAGACAGGAATTATTATTATTATTATTATTATTATTATTTTAAATTTTATTTATTTATTTATTTGAGAGAGAGAGAGAGAGAGAGAGAGAGAGAGAGAGAGAGAGAGAGAGAGAGAGAGAGAGAGACCAGCTCAGCCCACCAGGGGGCGGGCTGGCTGGCATGTGGTGCTGGGGGATTGAACCGCGGTCCCTGATGCTTTTGCTAAACTTGTTCTAAGTAGGTGCTTTAGACCACTGAGCCATCTCTCCAGCCCAGGAATTATTTTGTGAAATAAAAAAAGAATTCTCTGAACTCATAGCATCTAAAGTAAAGAATCAACTACAGAAACATAGGGAGGAAACCCAATCTGGAAAAAACTCTGCAGAAAAAGAATTAATAACTGCTTCTAAAGAAGATATTGATAAAAAAAATAAAGGAGGATAGAAAAATGACGGATTCCTTGAATGAGCAATACAGGAAAGAAATAGATCGCATGAAGAGAGTCAAAGACATATACAGGAACTTAAAATCTCAATCACAAGCTTGCAAAACCATTTGAGTGAAAGTGAAGACAGAGTTTCAGATCTTGAAGATGCTGGTGCCACTAGTGAAAAGGTAAGAAAAGATCTCTTAAAAACAACTAGGATGCAGGAAAAAATAATTCATCACTTTCAAGACGATGCAAAGATGAACAATGTGAGACTAATAGGCATCAATGAGAAAGAAGGAGTCAAAACAAATGACATTAAAAAAATGTAATAGCAGAAAACTTCCCAAATATGAAGAAACCATCTGATATTCAGTAACTGAAGCATACAGAATGCCTAGTAACATCAACCCAATTAAAAACACACTAATACATATAATAGTCAAGATTCCAGAAATCCAGCACAAGAATAATATACTGAAAGCCGCTAGAGAAAAGAAGCAGATCACATTCAAAGGAAAACCCATCAGAATTTTGGCCAACTTCCCTTCACAAACCAAGAAGGCAAGAAGAGCATGGAGCAGAGTACTTCAAGACCTCTATGAAAGCAAATTCCAGCCCAGACTAATATACCCTGCAAAACTCTCTTTCAAGTTTGATGGAGAAGTGAAATACTTCCATGACAAAGAACAATTAAAGAATTTCATGATGAGAGCGCAGGCCCGGCAAGTGAGCGAGACAACCAAGGCCGCGGGATCCTGAACAGACCCAGAGCGCAGGCCCAGAGAGTGAGTGAGATGACCTGGGGCCTTCGGGATCATGAATAGACAGAATAGCAGAAAATTTCCCAAATATGGGGCAACAATTTGACATTCCTGTAATCAAAGCATATAGAACTCCAAATAACATCAATCCAATGAAAACCACACCCATACACATAATAATCAAGATTCCAGAAATTCAGTATAGGAACAGTATACTAAAAGCCACTAAAGAAAAGAAACAGAACACATTTAAAGGAAAACCCATCAGAATAACGGCAGATTTTTCTTCACAAACCATCAAGTCAAGAAGAGCATGGAGCAAAATACTTCAAGTCTTGGAAGAAAACAAATTC